AAGTGCTAATGGCCAATCTGGTGTTTATTTTGAAACTGCTAACAATGATTTTTCTCGGGTAAAAAGGCAATGTCTGCGCACACACGCTCTGCTGGGTTTTGAGCAGAGGCTCCGCCAGATGGTGCGAAGCCTTAGGTGCGCTCACGACCGCGCTCAGCCCGGCTCCGCCGCCGGGAACCCATGCCGGGGGCCGCTCGCGCCTGCCCCACCGCCGGCCTCCCCAAAACACAGAGATTTAAAAAAAAAAGAAAGGGGAAAAGGCCATTGGGGGAGGGGCCGAGGGCGGGAGCCGGGAGCCGCAAGCTCCCCCGCAGAAAATTCCACGGAGGGGGGAGGGGAGTCCTCGTTCCAGTTCCCGCCCCCGCCCCCCAAAAACGATCTGGAAATTGCTTCCAACCTCCCCGGGACTTCTGACACTTCCGTCCACTTCCAGGCGGACAAAGCCTTTTCTCGAGGAAGCCCGGGGCTGCCCTCTGGGAAGAGCGCGGGGCTCCCGCGAGCCCCTCTCCCAGCGCCTCCCTCCCGGTAGGCTGGGAACCGCGGCGGCGACGGTGTCACCGCAGGCCGCCGGGCCGCCTGGGGCTCCGGGCGCGTGGCCGCGGCGGGCGCTGGCACTTCTGAGAGCGCGGCTCGTCCTCGGATGGATCCCCGTATTTATATTTGATTTATTTTTTATTTTGTAGCACAAACAGAAATCCATAAACTGTCGGTTCAGCGCCATTGACTCTTTGATCAGTTACTGGGCTATTTCTTTCCTTCTCCCACACCCCCCCCCATCTCCGTCAGTGAGAGGAGATTAAATGCCTTTATTTTCAACTGTTTATACTGCAAAGGTACAGGGATAAATGAACAATAAAAGTGCGCTTAAAACGGAAACCTCCTCCTCCTCTGTGCATAAACTCAGCGCTGCCTGCATCAACCTCTTCAACCTCTTCGTTAGAACACAGCGATTTCCCAAAACATTTAGCCCTTATATACAAAGGAAATAAAAGCACGCTGTCCACACAGAGCCGGAGTTCCAGAGGCTTCACTGAATCCCAGTGAAATAATTACCCAAGGGCACACCGCCTCCGCCGCCTTTGTCCGAAAGACCATAGTTTACCTGTCAGATCTGCTTTACTCTGAGAGAAAACCACTGTTTTACCACTGCAGACGCTAAAATCCAGCAAGCTTCTTGCCTAGGTAAGGACAAACTTTTTCAAAGGGAAGTAAAATCTGAAAACTAATTGCCCTGCAGACAGTAGGAAGCATGTGTGCAGGGCTGCAAGAAGGACCAGAGAGTTCTTTTCCACTTGGCTCACAATTGTTAAAGTTAACCTCAAAACGGAAGATGCCACTTTCATTTCTAAGCGTGAAGCTCAGTTTGGAAGCATATTTTAAATCAACCTGTGCAAAGTGGATTTCACTGAGGAACTGGATTGGCCTCCTCCCCCAACACTATTTTAGGAAAACTGGGAGGAAATCTTTAAAAAAACAACTAACCAACAACATACCACGCAACACAAAACCAGCCCAAGACTGCACAATGTCAAAAAGCAATGAAGCGCTTTCCTGCACTTAATCACACGACTGATAGCCAAGTTATGATCGGAAAAGTTGACGAAGACAAGTTAAATAATTTAATAAGGAACTGCTTGTAATTATGTTATTTACAAGGTATGACAGAGAGTGGAAAGGGACGAGAAGCTGCCCCCAGAGCAATGGACGGGTTTGGGTGACCCCTGGAGCTCAGAGTTTGAATTATGGAGATGGGGGGCTGAGAGGTGAAGATGGACTAGAGAACAAGGTGACTTTTCACCCCAACACATTTAACTTTTAAATCCAAATACATGTCTCATGTTACGAGACCATCACACTGGAAAGGAGAAAAAAATGAACTAATCAAGTCCAACTCAGTGGGCTTTGGAAAGGAGTTAGTTGCCTTTGTTATAGGGGGGAAAAAATCAATGAAATGATTCTAAGCAGAGAGAGAAACGTTTAAAAATATACAAGGGGGAGATCTTGAAAATTTTCTGTCAAATATTAATTACCATGATTAATTAAGACAGAATTTGATTCCAATCACAAGCCATTTAATAAAGCATATATGTCCTATTCTAATGACAACATAAACTATTTCACCAATCGCTTCATTTATTCCAAAAAATAGGGAATTCTTATTAGCATGTCAAGAAAACTAAATGAGAAACAAATACACCAGATCCATTTGTCAGCCCTCTCCTCTCTGAAACTCCAGGACAGCCCCAGCTGAGCAGTGAAAACTAGTGCAAGAGGCTTAAACTTTCTCACCTGTTTGGTCATTGAATCTATGAGGCGAACATACAGATCCTGCTCCGTTCTGACTCCTGCAAGAAACAGGGACAAATTCTCATCAGGATTTCAGCCAGGGCACTCAGGGGCACAGGAAGTGGGTAGCTCGGGACTGCTGCCGCCGTGATGCAGCAAAACTCAGGCATGCCTTTCAAAGGCAGGAAAGAGAACCCAGTCACTCGTTTTAATTCTTCTCTTCTCTTAGGAACCTTGAGACTCTGAGGGCTTGTATTGAAAGGGGCAAAGGACTCTGCCTGGCTGAGAGCAGGCCTGGTTGCTGAACTGGGAGAGCCCATGTGCTCATTTATTTTTAGAAAACAGAAAGCACAAAATGGAAACTAAGTGAGCGTCTCAACTCTTTCTAGTGTCTCTCGAGGATTTTTTAAAAATCCGTGCACAGGAAGTAAGCTGTGCTTGATGTACAGAGCTACCCCCATCTCGATAATTAACATTAATTTGCAAAATTGAAAAAAGTCACTTAAAAGTGATGTTTTGCTGGCGCCCACATCGATCCCCTTTTTACTTTCTACTTCAAGCCCAACCGGTTAATCATGTGAAGTGCCATCGACTTATTGATCGTTTATGTTTTGTTTTCCTTCTATGCCATGAGAAGATTTCGTGTTTACATCCGTGTCATTTTAATCTCGCAATCTTTACGTCCTTTAAGCATCGCGGAAGAGGAGCGGGCGAGCCAGCGGGGCGGGAAGGCGCAGCCGCCGCCACTTACCGTTGCTGTAGAGTAACTGGAGTTTATAGTGGATGCCGTTGTTGGTTTTCTCGTTGTTGGGCTCCTGAAAGTAACGATAAACAATTGCGTTTAGTGCGCCTGCTGTCCGGCGCGGCCACCGCACTCGGTCCCCCTCCACGACCGAGGCCCCTTGGCCTCACACAAGGCAGGACTCCTAGCCGGGAGCAGCGCGCTGATGTCACTTTCCTGCTGGAAGCCCAGCGCCCTCCTCGCCCGGAGTGAGTCCGGGGGCGCAGAGAAGTTGCCCAGCCCTCCGCGGGCCCGGTCGGCCGCACGTGGCGGCGGCAGGGGCGCCTGGCCGAGCCGTCCCCGCCGCCGAGGGGGGCACCCGGGGCCACGCGCTGGGGCACCGCCTGCCTCCCACTTCTAGGAAGCCGCAGGGTGTGATTGTGTGTTTGCACTTACTTTCTCTTTCTCCACAAAGTCCACAAAAGCGGTCCTTTCAATCTCCACCGGCTGCCCCTGCCTGTCGTAGAGCGCCAGCACGAAGTGGAAGAAATTGGACTTCCGGAGGTTGGAAGGAGGCTGCTTCTCGAAGTGCGCCCGCGCCAGCCCCACGCCGCTGCGGGAGGAAAGAGACAGCGGCCCGGTGAGGAGCGCGGCGCCGGCCGGCCGCGGGGACCCGGCGGGGCCGGGCCCGGGGCGCGCGGGGGCGGCCGGTACGTACCTCTGGGCGGCCGTGTTGGCGTCCACCACCCCCGCCGTATGCATCCAGGAGCGCACCGGGTTCATGCCGCTGCCCAGCGGCTCCTCCTTCATGGTCGTCCCCCCGCGCGGAATATTCTCCTGAATCCCAAACATGAAAACTGCTGGCGGCGGCCGCCGCTCCCGGCCGAAAGCGCTTCGGCGAGCAGCGGCGCTGGGGGGCTCGGCGGCAGGCGGCTGCCCTGGCCGCGCTGGCCCTGCTCGGCGCCTGCGGTCCGGCCCGCCGCCGGCTTCAGCCCGTCCCGGGCAGGCGCGACATACACCGGCGGCTGGGCGCTCCGGACGGCCGGGGGCGCGGAGGCGGCTCCACCGGCGGCTCCACCGGCGGCTCCACCGGCGGCGGCGGCGCTTCGGAGGAGCAGGACGCGGTGGCCGCGGCGGCGCTTGTTGTTGTTGTTGTTTGCAGGCGCGCTCAACGTGGTGTCATCCTAGCCAGGCGGCGTCCGCGGCTGCAGGGCACTGCGGGATCGCCCGCTTCTGGCGCGGCCCGCCTGCTCCAAAGACAAATAAACGGGGCAGTGAGTGCCGCGGCGCAGTCCCGGGCGCAGGCGGGGCGCGGCGGGGCCTGGAGCGGCGCGCGCAGCGGACGGAGGCGCACAAAACTCAGCCCTCTCTCCCCGAGGAATGGACCCTTTCCCGGGAGCCAAAACTCGAAGCCCCCGGGAGCGGCGCTGTCAGAGGGTGACGTCGGGGGGCGGCGCCTGCGCCATATATGGGAGCGGCCGCCCCTCGCCGCGCCCCTCGCCGCCGCCGCCGCGCTCGCCGACTGACTGCCTGACGGCGCCGCGAGCCGGCCCGAGCCCCGCGAGCCCCGCGAGCCCCGCCGCCGCCCAGCGCCGCCGCCGCCCCCAGCCGCGCGCCGCGGCTCCTCGCGCCCACCCGCCGCCAAGGAAGTTTCTCCTCGCCCAAATCAGTCTCCAAAGCAGACAGACAGGCAGGGCGCGGCTGCTGCCTGGCCCCGCAACCCCTCCTCCTGACATCAGCCACACAAGTCAAAGCACGATGGGGAGGAGAGGGTAAAACGCAGGGGCGCCCCCAGTTGCCCAGACGCCGGCCGTAAACGCCAGGGGCCGCGGGCCGCCCCGGGACGGCCCAGAGCGGGAGGCGGGTAGACGCCGGCAGGCCGCAGGCAGGGGGCTGGAGGGGCGAGCACCCGGCCGGGGCGGGGGGCGGGGGCTGGAGGGGTGGGGCAGGGCTCCCCGGCCAAGGCGGGCGCGCAGTACGGCCCGGTTTGCAAGCCGACTGACGGCTGCTGGGGGGCCGATGTGCCCTCGGCTGGGCCTCACGGGGCGCTCGAGCTCTCCGCCCCGGCGGAGGCCACCGACTGTGTCGGGCTGGGGCACCCACGTCGGAGGCGGGCTCTGCCCGATGCGCGCTCTCTTTCCCCGTGGCCACGGGAGACCCCGTCCCCCGGCCTGTCCTTAGGCGCAGCGACTGACAAAGAGGCTCCGGGCTCTCTGGGCGGACTGGAAGCGCTCCCGGCCTCTCCGGCGACCCGGGGCCGGGTGTCCGGCTGCGCGCCCCGCGCGGTGACCAGACCTCCCCGGCGCCAGCCGCTCTAAAAGCCGAGCAGACGCTGCGGGCGCCCGGGTCCTGCCCTCGGTGCCGCTGAGCCCGGGTGAGCGCGCGGCGCGCGACTTTCCAGACCTGGTTTCGAGGAATCGGAGGGCAGCGGGACGCGAGCAGCGCGTGGGCCCGGAGGCCGGGCTCCTGCAGCCAGGACTCGGCGTCCAGGCGCACTGCCCACTGAAAGGACCTGTGCGTGACACGAAGCGGGGGCTCAGGGGACGACCGGGAGCTGTCCCAGCACTTCCCTGCCGAAAGAAATCAGGCCCTTTTGATTAAAACAAACAAAAACAACAAAAAAACAGGTTTCAAGGTGCAAGCGTGTCGCAGGACAGACTCTTCACGCCGGGTCTGGGGTGGCACTCCTTTTATTTCATGAATTGGCAGTGTGTGTACGCTAATATTTTAATTAATCGGGAAAATCGAAGTCCGATTTACCTTATCTGGGGACCCTCAAGCCTCTTGGAAGGGGTGAGAAAAAAGCAGTTCTGGAAAGCAATCTATTTTGCTGGTGTTGGGGGTTAATGACTATTGCCAAAGATAAGTGAATTACCACAGCTGTTGCGCCAGTCCCATCTCAAAATCCATTCCGGTGCCGGCCGTCTAATTAAATACGTAAGTATAATAAAATCATATTTTATGACTATTTGAGGGTAATGAGATTAGTCTTTAGAAGCGATCGCCACATATTAAAGATGCCACTGTCTATAGAATGTTAATAACCTTAAATCAAAGTGTATGGAAACTATTCATGATAAATTAAAAGAAAATTTCTGTATTCCTAATAAGCCCAGCGCTTTTCACCCACAGCCAACCCAGTGGAAGAGGGAACACTTTCTTCGTGGAGGGACAACGCAAAATAAAGTTGCTCAACGGTGGAGGGTGGGGTGGAGACATGTCTTTGTCTCTGCGTGTTTAGCTGCTTCGGGGGCTCACGCAAGGCAAGCGCCCAGGCAAGCGTTATTGTCAGATTATGCAAAGTGCCTGTTCGGAAAAAGATGAAGTTGGAAAGAGGAAACAATGCTTCCTTTGTAGCACACTTCCTAAAATGCCCAGCCCAGGCTGGAGGTGCCCCCTTCTTTGCTCTAACGAAAGTATCATGCTTAAAATCATTTACAGTATCTTTAATTCAGATTACACGCGCCAAGGCGATTTAAATCTGATTACCAAATTAGAAGGTTTAAAAACAAATCCTTCTAAATCTGATACTGTTGACTAAAGAGGGAAAAAAAGTTCTAAAAGCCCATCACAGAAGGTAACGATCCTGCCCCAGAAAGAAAAGGGGTTTTAAACCTTTTTGACAACAAATGCAGCTGCCCCACTATTTTGGACGATATTAAGCGAAAATGAATGCAAATCTGTGTTCAGCAGCCATCTGGCCCGAAATGGGGGAGTCAGCTGCTCTCACAACAGGCTCGGAGGCTGAATCCATTTCAGCTCATTTTCTAGATCATCTGGTCCCGCACCCAAAGCGTGGAAAATACGGTCTTTATCATTCACCAACTTTATCTTTTTTGTCACTCCACTGCTGGCTGCGAGCTGCGGGCACAGAGACTCGCCACCCGAGCAGGCTCTCCACACGGGCCTGCTGCGGAGCGGCCTGGGAGGGCTGTGCCCTCGGCCCCCACCGCCCCCCACCCCAGGGGTTCGCCTTGACGGGGCGGGAGCAGTGGCCGAGAGGACCCGGGATCCCAGCGCCCAGGCCAGGGGGGGGAAGGGGTTGCAGGCCCATCCCGGATGTCCAGAGAGAGGCTGCAGCGCGTGCCCGCGCCCGCCGCCCCCCCCCGTAGGGGCCCTGCCCCGCCCCTCTTCCTCCCTGGGGACCTAGGGGCGCCCAGTACCCCGGCAGGAGACGCCGAGTGGGGACAGGCTGACACTGTGGAAGTTGCGCAGGCCCGCCACTACCGCCGGTCCAGCCTCCGCGCACAGAGCCCTCCCAGGGGCCAGACAGACGCCCAGGGGCCGGCCCGGGCGGGGCCTGACCTTCGCTGGAAACCCCGCGGGCCGCCACGGCGGCGACCACCGCTCAGGGCCCCGCGCTCAACGCGATTTGCACGGGTGGCCCTCGCGCCGCCGCCGCCGCCTCCTCCTCCTCGGAGGGTGGGAAGTATTCCTTTTGTGCGGATTTACGGGGAGAGGCTTCAATGAGCCCCCTCGCATTTGCATTTAAATAGCGGCATCAAGCGCTTCGCGTGCCACACACCAGTGGGCTCCCAGATGTCACGCCGGAGTCAGTCAGATGGCCAGTGCCCAGCTGTCCTCCCCACGTCGTGCCGGAGCAGGCAGTGACCTTAAAGAGACAGTGCCCTCAGCCCCTGGAGCCCCGCTTGGGGAGCGGCTTGCAGGGTGCAGGGCCGCGGCCGCGCTTGGCCGCTGACCCGCGGCACCACCGGAGGCTGGGCCAGGCGGTACAACCGCGCGGCGCCCGCGCCCAGGCCCGCTCCGGCCTCCCTGCCGGCCGCGCCGTGCCCGGGCCGCCGCGCGCGCCAAGCCCTCCGCCCGCGCCCACTACCCACCCGCGGGAGGGGGCGGGCGGTTCCGCGCGCGCCAGGCGTGAACTTCCCCCTCGCGTCTCTCCCGTCCCACGTCCTCCACGGCCGAGTGGTGCGGGGCCTGGTGAGCGGGAGCCATCCAGAAACTTCAGCCAAGTTGGGGTCCCAGGGTGCATGGCCGGCCTCTGAGTCCGGGCTGGACCCGTGTCCAAGGGGCACCCTGTGAATGCACCTTCTGGCTCTCGGCTGAGCCCGGGGAGCCAGCCGCCCTCCCTACCAGCCTTCCAAGGAGTCAGAAACTGCATTTCCGGCGTTGAGAAGCCCGGGCCACGGTTCCTGGAAGCCGATGCTTAAGAGGGATCCGGGGTGCGGGGCGCAGCCGGGTGCGTCTCCCTCGCAGGGCCGGTGTCCTAAGGCCCAGGCTGCGCGGCCGTGCCCCTCAGAGCCCTCGGGAAAGGGTGGGAGCCACGCGCCGAAGGCCAGCGGTTCGCTTTCCCGCCTCCACGCTGAGTTGCAGGCGCGGCCCGCCCCCACGTCCTCCGCGCCCCGCACAGACCGCGCTGGTGACCCGGCCTCCAGCCCCGCTCCCGGCCCATCGCCATAGGCAGAGCTCGGGAAAAGAACCCGAAAGCGGAGAGCCAGACTGACCTTGGGCACCGGCGAGCAGGAGGCCGTAGGGGCTGGGAGAGCGGAAGAAGACAGTAACCCTGGGAGGGCGCCCCTAGGAAGTCGCGCACTGCGAGGTGGGGTGGCACAGCCGGGCACTCGCAAACCCTGCCCGGCGTGGGTCAGGGGCGCGGCCCCTGAGTGCGCCCCGGGTTAGCCTTGTACCACGGTGGGTACAGTGGGCCCGTGGGCCTGGGGAGGTCGGGAAAGCCGGGGCTCCGCACTCAGGCCACCCCAACCTGTTAAGCGACGAGCCAAGGGCGCCGGGCCAGAGTCTGGGGAGGTTTCCAGGCCCAGGGAACGCGCCTTCGCCCTGGCTGGACAGGGACGGGGGCTGAGGGCTTCTAGGGAGGCTGTGGCGACAAAACCCCAGCCAGGACGCGCCTCCCGCACACCCTCGGAGGCAAGTTACTCTCGGGACAAGGCATCTTGTCCCGCACACACGGGGCTCCTCTGCCCTGCGCTGGAAGGCGCGAGGCCTGGCTGGAAGGATTCACAGCTAAAAAGCGAACATCGGAGGGTCCTAGACCCCTGATCTCTGCACGGCCTCCTCAAACCCGGTCACTCTGGAAGGGTCAGGCTCCTGCAGGCCGACCCCAAGGACCGAAAAGGGCTCAATACTCCAAGCGAGAAGGTGCAGGCGCCTCCTGCCGAGGCGGCCAAGTTTGACAAACAGCGCCTCCTGGGGTGAGCAGAGCAGAGTGCCGCCGCGCCGCCGCGAGCCGAGCCGCCCAGACTCCCACCCAGGCCCGGGCAGGTGGCCGCCGCCGCTCCCCGCCCGCCCGCAGCGGGCGCACCTAGGCCTCGCTGACCCGATGACCCCAGGAGCGCGAAGAGCCGTCCGCCCTCCGCCAGGTCCTAACTGCCGCTCACGTGTGTCTGCAAAGTCAGGCTGAGCCCGGGCACCCGGAATAAGGCCCGGGTGGCGAGCACCGAGCCCGCTCCCCGCAGGGAACCGCGCGCTCCCAGTTGCCCGGTCCTCCGGGGGCCGCGGACGCCAGCCGGCCCGCTCTCGACGGCCTCCCCGGAAAGCCTAGCTCCCAGCGGGGCCGAGGATGCCGAGCGCGCCTCGGCTCCTGGAGAGTGCGAAATTAGAAAGGAAACAGTTAATTCCTCTCCCCTGGTCCTAACTTTTCCCCGGCCCTTCCGGTCACTATGGCTAACCCCATATTCCGAGTCAGCCCCTGGAGCTCCTCGGTGAGGGCGAGAATCCGAACTCACACGCTTGCTCTCAGTCAGTCGGGCTTCTCCCTACGCACCTTGCAACCTTAAAGGCTGCCTCTCCGCAACACGCTCGGCAGGCGCACCAGAGCGGGGAAAGAAGGCTCGTGCGTGCCAGGAGTCTCTTGGATCCGAAAAGGTACAAAGATTGCGCAAAGAGCAGGGATTTCCCGAGCTGCCTTCAGCGGCGCCCCAAGGCAGGAGGAGCCCGAGCCGGCGCCCCGGACCGGATTCGACGAGCGCCCGCCCCGCCAGTTTACAAAGCAAACTTCCCCCAGAGCAGTTTCTAGATCGAAACAGCGCGCGCAGTCCGCCAATCAACACCTCCACAGACCCAAACTGCAGAAACACCGATCGATCAGATAATTTCAAATATTATAATTGGCTTTAATTAAACACACTGCGTTCTAATTAACTCTGAAATTTTAGCATGCTTTGGGACACTGGTGTCTGATTTGATATTGTCAGTCCAGATGTCCTAATAAAATTCAATCCTCCACTCAAGACTTCAATATTCAGTAAGAACAAAATGCAAATTAAATGTAAAACCTAAAGTATCACCAAAGGTATAATCAAGAAAGGTGTCTCAAAACTTCTCACTTTTTATTACGCAGTAGTTTAAAAATGCAGATTACATCCTAACAAGACCTCTCCGGCATACCATAAATCTTAACTCTTTCCTGGGCTGTCGGTGCCCTGCCACTGGCTTAAAGGTAAAGGAGGGGGGCAGACAGATCCCTTGGCAGGTCTGCACCACCTCATCTAGAAGCCAACGGAGCGCAAAACTTTGCCAGTGAGATGATGGTTTGAAACACTGGGTTTGCCAACCCAGGCAAAGGAGCTGGGGTGGTAGAGAGCCAAGGGGTGCAGGTAAGCAGGTTGGCACGCCACGGACGTCCTCCTCTGCCTGCGACCTTCGCCCATGCCCTGGCCACTGCTCAAGGGAGCTCGAACACACCCCTTCTCCTGAGCAAAAGTGTGGAGGTGGGTGACAGCGGCCAGGCCGCTCAGTCCGCTCTCTTAATTATCTGAGCTGCGGGGACCCGGACAAAGAGGCTGGGAAGGCAGGGTGAGCACACAGCCCCTGGACAGAAATGTGTCAAGCCTGCCTCCCTTCCCGACTGCACAAACCCTTTCGCCCTCATTCTCGAGACTTCTAAGGGATCCAAGCCGGCGGTCGGGGTGTGGCGGCGCGCTCGGTGTCGGGAAAACCTCTCCCGGGAAGCACAGCGCAGGCCACGCGGGGGTGCGCCTTTGGCGACACGCTGGCAGCGACTAAATTCTTTCCTCATGCGAGGGTCTGCTAAATGTACAGTCCAGAATGAGCCCTGTGAAAGGAAAGCTATTCTCACACTAAACATGTGTATGTTTTCCATACTAATGGAGTCACTTAAAGCTGTTGCTAATTTAACTTTTTAAAAAGGCCACACTGCGGAAATTTGCATTTTCTTTAGGATATTGAAATGAAGAGGAAACTGCTGGGCGGCGAGGCTGCCCAGGGCATAGCTGGGGGCCATGCAGAAATAAAAACAGATAAAGAAAAGAAGAAAGAAAGAAACCCGCTTCTCTTCTAGACTATTAATAAGCAATTTGTCCCGCTGAAATTTACATTGCAAAGCGCGGCGTACTAGCAGTCGCGGCAGCGGAGCCGGCGCAGGCTCGGGTATTGCGTCCCGCGCGGGGCGCGGGCGGCCTCTGGACCGACCCGGACGCCCTCTGCAGTGATCGGTGGGCAGCTTTGAATTTCGCGTCCTTGTCGCCGCACAGCCGACCCTCGCCCACACCCACGCGTATCGGCACCCTAGGGCCCAGCCTGGGCCGCGCGCCCCGGGAGAGCCAGGACTGGAGTGCGCGGTGGCCACCAGGCCAGGGCCGCAGCCAGGTAGGGGGTCTCTCGAGGGCAGACCCTAGGCTCCCATGGACATCCCAGACTCAAGGACCTCCATCCGCCCCCAGTACTGCTCAGGCCTTAAATTAACGACGCCAACAATAAGCTGGAGATTTTTCGCCCTGTGCCGCGCGGCCCTGGTCCAAGTCCACCGCCAGTGCGGATCCTCGCGCTACGCGCCCGCCCCGCGCCCCCGCCAGCTCCCCCGCCCGCGCGCGGCCCGGCGGAGCGCGGCTCCCGAGCCTAGCGTGGGGCCAGGGCGCCATCTACGGGCGCCGCGCGCTCCGGGCGCCGCCGCCGCCACCCTCTCCCCGGCGGAACCCGCGCCACCTCCCGCCGCCGCCCGCGCTCGCCCCGCGCCCGCTCCGCGACGCCTGCCACTTATCACAATTACACGGCGTTCCCCGTGCCAGTTTGCTTATGAAACATTGATTGCTAGATGTTCCAACTTTTAAGCACTTTATTAAAACTTTCGAAATGAGGGCGCTCTACGGCTTGCTTGCGATTTTTAGGCACACGATTAAGACATGAAATGTAAAGATAATGCAATTTGATTTGTTAGTCTAACTCTACGATTTGAGGCTCGATGTCCCTAAAGACCAGGCGAGCTTTTCGCCTTTATTTATTTTTATTAAAACATCAATCTGCGCTGGAGCTGGGTGAACTCGGTTTCACCTGGAGAACATAAAATCCTCCATACCAGAGAAATAAGCACCTTTCATAAATCAGCGGTATTCCTGACACATCGATCAATTTTTGGTTGTTAATCCGAAAGGAGGAGTTTTAATTGCTTCCCGCATTCTCGTCCTGGCACCTCGGGCTTCGACCCCTCCCTCCGGCCCTCCAAGGGTCCCACTTTGTATTGCGGGAGGGGCTGTGATGGAGAAATCCCTGGTCCTTCCCCGAATCCCAGAGCCCCCAGTCTCCGCCCGTGCCCGTGCGCGCCTCCCCCGCACCGAGGGCTCCCGGCACGCGCTTAGCTCTCCGCAGCCTGGCCCGGGAGGACCTCGAGGGGAGGCCACCGGGGACCCGCGAGGCGCCTCAGCGCGCTCGCCGGTCGCCACGACGCTGAGAGGGCCCGGCGCTAAAGTTCCCCTAGCGGCCGGGCCGGAGTGCCGCCCCGGGTCGCGGGCCCCCGCGTCCCCCGGCCCCGCCGCGCACCTTCGCCGCAGCCCCGGCCCGCGCTCCCGCAGGCGAGGAGAGCACACTACGTCTCGGCCACCCAGCGCCGGGCCCGCGACGCGCCAAGTTCAACTTTACGGGCCCGTGGCCTCCGGGGGGCCTCACTCCGGGGCGGGAGGACCACGACGGATCGCGGGCAGCCTCCGCGCGCTTACCTGAACCACTCATTCGACGGGCATGGCGGGGCGCCCCGGCCGCGAGGTGACGGCGGCGCCGGCGGCGGGCCGGGAGGGTGTGCTGCCCGGCGCCTCCCCACGTTCCCACCTCCCGCCCTCCCGGGAGAGCCCACGGGCCGGGCCGCGAGCGCGCCAGTGCGCACGCGCCGTGCTGCCTTCCACCGCGGGAGGCGGCGGCGCGGTGCACGGGGGCCGAGCGGGGGCGCGAGGAGGTGCTCGCCGGCGCCCCGCATCCTGCCGGCCGCCGCGCCCCGAGGCCGAGGCTGCAGCTGGGTCCGAGGGTGGGAGCGCTTGGGACCTCAGGGGTGCCCCTGGCCGGACGCAGGGCCCTCCGTGGGGAAACCCCTGTTGCCTGGACCGCCCCCCCCCCGCAACCCCGCTCCTTCCCCGGGGCGTTCTTAACCTGCTTTGGCCAAGAGAGCACGCCAGGCCCTGGACTGGCCGCCCTGGCCGGGACACCTGTCCAGAAGCCGGTTCCAGGCCCGGGGAGGCCTGGAGCTGTCTGTGTGGACCCGTGCACCCTCCCAAGTGGAGGATGGCGCGGAGTGCCCCGGGCCCTTTCGGTAATATTGGAGGGGGGAGGCCTCCTTGCAGAGGAGGTGCCACTAATAATCTAGTGAGAAGCAGCTTTCTGCCCGGCAGTCACAGTGAAATGGGGGGCACAAGAGATCTCCCACAGAAGGGGAGACAGACCAAGATTCCCCCTATGAAGCTGCCATGAAAGTCCCTGGCCCACTCCAAGCCGAGCTGTGCGCAGCTCTTGGAGAAGGAGGCCAGGCAGCCAGGACCCCGCGACTCCCGTCTTTGGTGTCACCTGGCGAATGACCGGCTGTGGAACCTTTGCAGTAGACATCTGGAGCTGCTCTGTAGGCAAGAAATGGGGCCAGGTGGGCACTCGCATCCTGGGGCCTGTGGCTGGCGCTGGGGTTGGAAGGAGCTGACCTGCCTGCCCTCTCCTACCCCAGATCTGCTTATTTCTCTAACATGCTCCTCTGATGAAAACCTAGGGTTCTCTCCTACTAATGCTTGTCTGCCTGCTTCCTCAGTGCAGTTCAGGTACCTAAACAAATACAACTTTCACATCAGCAAGGTTTGTCTCAGAAAGCACCAGTGTGGTGAAGCAGGACCTGCACCCTCCATCATTCCTTGGTTTTTCTCCCCTGTTTCTTGCTCCTAGATTTGTTTTGCACTCTTCACTTCAACCTTTTACAGTGAAAATTGAATGTGCTGAATCATGAAATCTTACTGGAAGGAAAAAGTTATTTTTGGCCATTTATTTAGTGAAAAGCACTCTAGAGAATGGAACCCAGAAACGTACTTTATTATGATAGCTTAATGTAAGAAAAGAACTAAATAACGAATATTTCCCCCTTGTCATCTTCACTTGGGAGTCATTTTTAATGTGAGCCAGCATGAAACCATTAAACCTATATGCAATATTTTAATATATAAAATTACCCATGTTTTTAATAGCACCTCACAGGTATTGGATGCTGTGTGCCAACATCCGAGATAGGCATGCACATGCACAGGAAAGCTGGAGGACGTGTCCTGGTCACACTGCCAGGAAGCTGCGGCCACAGCCCCAGGGCCGGGCTCCAGAGCTCTGGTCCTTACAAGGGCAGCCACATGTGACTTCAGAGGCAAAGGTGGGAGGGGGTCTGCTGTCTTGAAGTCGCTTTGCACACGTGGAGCCTTGAAAGGGCTTCTGCTCAATCGGTCTGGTCAGATCAGCTGTGGAATGACAGGGAGGGGGCTGGGGAGGGGACTGGGAGGTGGACTTTATCCTCAAATGGGCACTTGGTGACCCTGCACACTGCTTCACCCCAAGTTCCTGCATCCCCCCGCCCAGGTTTTGCCTGTTCCCCTGTCCCCGGAGGCTGCTGTCCCCAGCACTCCCCCAAAGGGGCTGCTGCCCCGAAGGTGCCTGCCCGAGGGTGCCTGCCCCTTGTTCCACGGCCCCATCTCTTCCCGAGCTGTCCCTCGACAGTGGTGCCTGGGGTTCAGCTCTGCAGGTTCTTAAGGGAGATGTGCGTGTGTGTGGTGTGTGTATACATGAATGAGGAATGGATGGAGAACATTCTGCCACAGAGGTCGTGATTCAGGGGCCAGTTGCTGGAGAGAGGAATGGTGCTCGTCTGGTGGGTCCATGTGAGAAATCATGATCTGCTGGAATGCTTGGAGGAAACCCATCCTTTTTATGGGAGGGAGAAACTCAGAGAGCTCCAGCCTGATGAGTGGTCCATAAGCTCACTTTCACGTACCTGTATCAGCACAGGTATCAGCACAGCACTTCTTCCTTTGAGAAGCCGTCGACTCCCTCTGTGCCTCACTCACTGCCACGCCCTCCACTGCCCTCCATTACCTCCCCCCCACCCCGCAATATTCTCACAGGCTGGGCTGAATCGTGTGCAGGGATGAGGAGGCCCTGCCCGCATGCACTGGGTGGGGGGGGGGGGGCATGTCACAGCTACACACGCGAGAACAACAGGAAACAGCCAGGTGATGTTTGCGCTGGGAAAGGCCTCAGCAGGTCTCGGAGGTTAAGCCCAATTCTCTCAGGCACATAAAAAATCAATGTCCGTTTCATCTGTCGAGGTCCACATCTGTATGCTTTGTCAGTGGCCACTGTACCTAGAAACATAAATTCACAAACATCAATATTCAAACCTGTTTCAATATTTACTTTGATCTCCTTACCCGTAACGAGCACTGTGCCTGGTGGCCACCACTAGCCAGCCAACACTGGGAAGGGAGGACTGCAAGGCGGGGCTGTAACTGCCCCCCAGGAGCACTTGCTCATCCAAGGGCGGGGGTGCAGGGAACCCATCGTGGAGGTGAAACTCGGCCACTGGACCCAGAAGTCGGAGCTCAATTGTGGACATTTCCAGAGCACAGACAGTTCCAGGGGCTGTTGTATTTGCAGGTCTCTCATTCTTGAGGGAGCCGTGTCTCTACGATCTCTCTTGCTAGAAACTCCTGGAGTCAGGGCCCCCGTCCCGGTCATCCGGTTTATTACTTCATAGGACAGAGCTGGCTCGACGAGGGGGCTCAGCAATGCTACCTGAATTAACACAGATGCGATTCAGTGTTAGAGACTTCGGGTCACGGGAAGATTCACACACACACACACACACGCACATGCACACGCGCGCGCGCGCACCTTGATAGAATGGGAGGCGGAAATCGCCCTGCTGCTGAGAAGGCTGTTGTCCATCCCCTTCTCCTCATGTCCTGCAGGGGAAAATGTTACTTGAAATCGGCAGCTGCCTTGGTCAGATATCCTGTGATGCTCGGGGATGCCTTCACTCTTGGTTGCCCACCGGAGCGACCCGTGTAAGAGCACCAACCCGCTGTCCGTGGAGGACAGCCAGGACAAGGGGCCCTCATGGGGGCTGGGCAGGGGCCCTGAGAGCCCTCAGAGTCGAGGCCTCCCTGGCAGGCAGTGAACAGCCGCCCCCAGGACAGTCAGCCGGGCCAGGGGTGAGGAGGCCCGGCTCCCCCAGGCCCTGCCTGCCTGGGAAGTCGGTTTCAAACTGAGACCCGCTCCTCCCAGCTGTGGAGACGGACTTTGAGCTCTCAGATGGATGACTTTCCTTAGAGACTCCATTCAAGCAGCTGTGAAGACAGCTGTCAGGGTGTGAAGGGGGCAGTCGGACTCCCCTTCCCGAGACACCTCTGCCCTGCCTGCCTTCTGCTGTTGGGGTCTAATGGAAAGTGATGGGTGAGTCTGTCTTATTGCCGTTCCTGGGAAACCCCAGGCGGGAAGCCCTCTGGCCAGGAGGTGACGTTTTCAGTGAAAGGTGTGTGGATGGCAGAGGGTGTTCCGTGGCCGGCAGGCCCATGCACCCAAGGCCTCTGGAAATGCAGCAGTGAGGTGAGAGGTCAGGGATGGAAAGTTAGAACATTGGATAGAGGTCAGGGATGGAAAGAAGGAACATGGCTGTTGCCGTCCCAGGGTCTGAGCAAGTCTGAGCCGCAGGGTCCCTCCAAGGCCACAGAAAGTGGTGCCCGTGGGCCTCGTGATGGAGCGAAGGAACAGCGATACGAGCGCGAGGGCCGTCGGCTCTCATGAGGAAACAGGACTTCAGTCCTGCAGCCACAGGAGCCAAGTTTAGCCAAAGATCATCTGATGGATGAGGATGCCCAAGCCCCAGATGAGAACACAGCCAGGCCGGCAGGCTGGTTTCTGCTTTCTGAGACCCCCAGTCAAGCTTATGCAGGTGGCTGACCTGCAGAACTGTGAGACGGTAAACTTAGGCTTAGGTCACCAAGTCTGTGGCACTTTGTTACAGTAACAACACCACCCAATGAAAACATCCACCTTTGAAGCCTGGAGGCAGATGCTCATTGCTTATGCCATGTGTCAGTCAGTAGTTACCACGGTGATACTCTAACAAACCTTCCCCAGTGCAGAGGCTTAAACGGCAGCCTTGCCCCTCACCCATTCCCCTGCAGGTCAGCTGGCACAGCGGCGCTGTTCTTGGCCTGGCTGGCTGTGTCCGGCCAAGTATGGCTTCACTACGCAAGGGAAGAGCTGTGAACTCTCCCAGCAACTCTGGGGACAGGCTGGCTTGTTCTCTGGGGGCTCCCTGGCTCCAGGGTGGCCCCAGGCTGGAGCAGGCCTGTTCTGAGGGATGGTGGCCTGGTGGGCATCACCAGTCCCCTGGGAAGAAGGCTAACCCAGCCTCTGGGCCACGGAGTGTGGAGAGGATGCATGTCAGACCTGTTGGGGGTGCTTCAGGCGATGGGGAGGTGGGGAGGGTCAGGAGGGAAGATGCAGACCACGGGGCAGACCACGATGCCCCTGTGAAGTCACACGTGGGTTTATGAACACATGGAGGGTGAGCTCCCCTCACCAGCGTGTTGCTCAAGGGTCAGCTGCCCTTTTCTCTGTTCTTCCTGCCACGCACATGTGCTCAGTTGCTCTGTCGTGTCCAGCTCTTTGTGACCCGTGGACTGTAGCTGCCAGGCCCCTCTGTC